CAATCTGGGTTTGATCCCCAGCATCCCATATGGTCCCCTGAGTCCAGCCAGAAGTAATTCCTGATCACAGAACCAGTAAGCCCTGACCACTACCAGGTGTGACCCAAGAACAAATAAAATAAATAAATAAATAAGAATAGGAAAGGAAGGAAGGAAGGAAGGAAGGAAGAGGAAGGAAGGAAGGAAGGAAAGAAGGAAGGAAGGAAGGAAGGAAGGAAGGAAGGAAGGAAGGAAGGAAGGAAATAGAGTCAAGAGACACAGACCACTTTATTGACAGTAGGAAATGAGGAAATGGGGGGGGGGGAAGGAGTAAAGGAAAGGTCTTTGCTTTTCTTTATGGAGTGAATTCAAGTTCACTGGGTAGAATTTCCCAGTTCAGCTGGAAATCCTCACAGCTCTGTGCACCACTGCCTGGTCTTGGATCAAAAAGAGAATTTGAGCTGTATCTCAGAACCTCTCACACAGAGAAAGGCTGCTCCCATACCATAGCTGTCCTGGGAGCAAGAAAGAACCTCCAGTTAGCCCTTCTGGCTCACTCATATTGGAAATGGGTTCACCAGTGGGGGAGATCTTAGCCCTGGACCTGTCTTCTTGGAAAAGGGGCTGCAGCATCTTCCCTAGAGCTGTGTCTGCATTCTCCATCTCTATATGAATCCCTCACCTCTAAGAATTGTTGTCTGTCATCCTGCCCATTAGCACACCTTGTCATTCAAATCACTTTCGTTTGTTCCATCTTCTGGTCCATTTCTCACTCAGCCAATTCCTTCAGTATCAGCTGTAGGCCCTGTATCTCTCCAAGCAGGTGTTAGCTCTCCTTTCTCCACCCCACATGATTCAGAGAACTAGGCAGCAGAGCCACTGCGTTTGTAGTAGTAGGTGGGGGGGAGGTGAGGGGAGCAGCTGCCAAGGGGCTACATGCGCAGCCAAGAGATGGGTAGTTGGTGGTGCGGGGAAGCAGAGAAAGCAGAGAGAATGAGCTCTGCTGTATGGGGTTGACTCATTAAAGAAAGAAACATCTTCCCCAGGGATAAAATCTAGAAGTAACAATATGAAAAAAGAATTCCCCTAAAATTGACCAGGCATACTCTTCAGGCATCTTTGCTTGCATTTCTGTATTTAATATGGACACCAGCTCCGTGTCCATCCCCAGTGGACAGACAAGAAACATGAGCTTGGAGCCCTCAGGCTCTCCGCCCAAGGTCACACAGGTAGGGAAGTGACAGAGCCTGGTTGGCCTGACTCCAAGTCTTCGCCCTCTTCATCTGCCCTCAGGAAGAGTGTGTCTGTGGAGACAGCCTGACGAATCTGCAGGGAGAAGCGGAGGGGCTGAGGTCGACTCTCTTCAGGTCATAAAGGAAAGGAAGTGAGGTCATCTCTAGAGATTGGGCTCAGGGGCCTGAGTCATCTTGGTAGAACTTTACGGGAGGAGCTCAGGGCTGGAACAGCCACTGTGGGAGAGTCAAAGGAGTCGATAGCATGGAGTAAAAGGAATTCTGGACAGCAGTGGGGACCCAGCTGGGGCTAGATAATGGGAATTTTGTAGTGGAACCAATGAATGCAGCTTTATGAGTCTCTCCAGCAACTTTTCACCACTCAGCAGAGACAGGGAACCTTTTTCGGTCCCTCCTTAGGACACAGCTTGATTAGTAGCCCGGAAGAGCACCACTACCCCACCACGCGCAGATGCAAGGAGCCATCTGCAGGGAAGGGATAATGGGGACCCTGGGGGGAGCAGGGGTGGGCTGGGAGGGATGATGGTGACCTGAGTTGGGAGAGTAGAGAGTTCAGAAGGCCTGTAAAATCAGAATGGGGCCAGGGAGACAGGCACAGGGCAGGAGGCTGATGGGTAAAAGAAGCTGTCTGCAAAGATACCTGCATGGATGTGCCCGTGAGGTGGCTGCCTAGGAAACGACACCTCCCTACTCACTCAGGTTGGGGATAATAAGTGTCAGGCCAGAACAAGGGAATGCATGGCTCAATCTGTTCACAAGCAAAGAAAATGTGTGTGTGTGTGTGTGTGTGTGTGGGTGGGGGGGAGCTGAATCGGAGGGGGGTAGGGGGGGAACATCGGGGCTGGTAAAAGCCTGGTGTTCACTAACGAGGCTGTAGTACAGCCATGCTCCACTTTCCAAAACAGGCCCCTCAGGAGAAAAGAAATAAAGTCATTTTTCTTCAGAGGCAGAAGATTTAACATTGCTTAACAATAACACTTAACATGGCTTAGCCCTTAGCCTTAGGCAACCTCATAACTACCCTACGCTGGGAACTGTCTTTCTTTCTCAGCTGGCTTGGACTTGGGCGTGCTTTCCTGAAGAGTCACTTAGCCTGGAAATCAGCTGTGTGAGCCTGCTTTAATGATGACAGAGTTCTATGACAGTGTGGCAAGGGTACCTTTGGCTGGGGCCATTCACCTGCTCTATGCTCTGGGGCGTTTTTTCCCTGTGTCAATGACTCAAAAATTGGCACACAGACCACAAGATTGACTTCATTTTAACGACTCCTGTCATGCTTTCCAGAAACCCCACAAGAACCAAATCAGGGCCCAGGGAGAAAGTTCAGTTGGTAGGACTTTTGCCCTCTGTATGGCTCACATGGATTCAATCTCTGACATCCCACACGGTGTCCACCAGTAGTGATCCCTAAGTGCAGCACCAGGAGTTAATCCTGAGCACTACTGGGTGTTTCCCCACTCCCTGGCCCACCAACCCACCCCCCCCCCGCCCCGCCGAAAAACCAAGAAAACAACAAAATAACCCAAATCTGGGCAGTGACTTCCCATAGTTTGAATTATTCTTGCATTTAAGTAAAACTTGAACTTTGTGGGAGGGGGTGTTAGACAATGTTGGAGAGAAGCAGGCACTCTGGTGGAGGCGCTGGGTTAGAATGCTGCATGCACAAAAACCTACCACTGACGGTATTGTAAAACTGCAACTCACAGTGGCTAAAATGAATTTTTTTCTTAAAAAAATTAAACTTCATTAATAATTGAAAGCTCCCTGCTTTAGAGACACAGAGGGCACTGTGAGCCCACAGAGCTGTGCCTGTCTCACTTGTGTGTGATGGGCTGCTTGCAAAACTGTTCTCCATCTAAGGTTCTTCCCTTTCAGCTAGGGTTCCATTTTGGGGGCCGGCAAGGAGGCTACCACTTCAGGAGCTGTGATGATCTCACCTAGTTTCTGTTGAAAAGCACCCTCTAAAAGGTTTCCTCTAAAACAAACTTCGGGAGCGTTAGTCATGATAGAGCATTTCAGGACTTGGACTTGGTAGTAACAGTGCATCAAAGCTGGACAGTCAGAGAATTTTATGCTTTAATTTCAGTTAATTACGAATCTAAGCCTCTGTTACCCTCTCAGGAAAAGTTGATTTACTGCTCCTGGACTAGACAGAGATTCCTGAGGCCCGACTGAGGACATATTTCCTGTTTGCACAGAGTCTGACACATAGAAGATGACGGACATAAAGAGAGGGGACAAATGAAATTTGGAGAATTTTAAGTTATTTCTATGCTTTATATTTGTATAAAAAAATACCATTTCCGTAGTCTGAGAGCAAGTTGGCCAGAAAGGCATGAAACTGCTTCCAGTTTTCCTTTTTACTCCCTTTCATAAGAACATACTACTTTCCATCTGCCTTAACCACAATTTCCATACACTTTAACACTGAAAGCCAGAAATTTTATATTTAAAACAAATTTTGGAGACTAACTCTGTTTTTTTTTTTTTAATGAAAACAAAATGCTAGGCCAGAAAGAGGAAGGAGATGAGAAAAAAACTATGAATCAACATAAATATTAAAAAAACAAAAAAAGAAAACAGATAAATAAAAGACAATGAATGGTATGGAAGGTTTTTTTTGAAGTACTGGGTTTGGTGTATAGGCTGCAAAATCAGTGTTAAAATTTGGTTCTCTGCTGGATTTGAGATTTTGTTACTTTTGAAAGTCAACATACTATTTATAAGAGCAGATGGCTGCTTAGGCTACACCCGTGGTGATATTTGGGATGTTATTTTTATAAATGCACACACATATGTAAAGACAACATGCAACTCAAAACAGTAGCTCCACAGAAGCTGCAGCTCTGAGCTAGCAAGCGCTTGAACAACTCAGCTTTCGTGATGAAGAAGCTCTACTTAGGATCCTCACCCCATCCCTCTCTCCCTCCCCGCCACCACCCTCCACCTTTCAAAAGAGATATTTCTTACATAGCATTTCACTTTTCTGACTGGCATTAGATGTTGTTTTTTGCTAACTCACTATTTCTCACACTTTCAACTCACGGGACTCCCATAGTAGCAATGCTGGCTGGAATCTTGGAAAGGGCTCTTCTTTGTCATGTGCTACTGATAACTGACTAAAATTATTCTTCATCTCACTGATAGGAGCACAAACCTTAGAGAATTGTATCTTATTTTAGAGGTGCCTCGTTGCAATCTAAGTGGATCATGTTAGGCCAGAACGGCCAAGTGAACTTTTCCCACACGGTTTCCTTTCTCCCACCGTGTTTGTGCTTCTCAGCAATTTTTATTTTTTTGCCCAGGGAACACGGTCAGATTCTAAATCAAGCAAAGAACACCTTCCCAGGTTCACGTTTCTCTCTTGCTTTTTAATACCCACAGGAAGCTTCAAGGTTAAGGTTGACCCACCCTTCCTCATGGGTTACTCTGAGCACAGAGAATTTACTGTTTTACTGTCTCTGTGCTTGGTGCAGGATGTTCAATACCATTTTTATAGCGATGACTTAGGATTTCCATTCAGTATCCAATATTCTTGCTGACATGTTCAATTGTAAAGATATACTATTTTCTTCCCTAAAAAAAATAACCACCAGGGTTTCAATTATTAGCTCAGTTGTAAAGGTGGCATTAGGGTTGCAGCAGATGGCAGTAAGGCAGAAGTATAACACAGTCCCTATTTCAAAACCAGATATCTATCTCATGTATATTTCTCTCAAGACTTAATTTGTAGATAAGCCGAACATGGGCTACCCCTTGGTGGCCTACCTGGGTAACGATGCATACTGTCTCTCCAGCCCCTCAAAGCGAAGGTTGTGCGCACTCCCATCTGGACCCTTTCCAGGCACCTGTGGAGAGAAAAGTAATTAGAGATGAAGATCCATCATACACCCTAGTTACTGACAATGCATCTCAAAATTATCATCAGCGACAAACGCTGCTGCTGCCTGCCAAAATCCAACCAAGGAAAAGAAAGCAAGTCAGAATTGCTATCAGGGCTGATGATCAAGCCACCAGCAGGGCATTCAATAATGTCATTTCTTTCTTCAAAGGGTCACCGTTCAATTGACTCCTTCCTGTCACCATGCCAGGCATACTCTGCAGGCTGTATGACCACTTGTTTCCTTTAATAGAGGCTATTGTTTTTAGAACAGCTTTAGAATTACAGGAAAACTCAGGATTGTACAGAAGGTTCCCATACACTGGAAACCAGTTTCCTTCTTATTAACACCTTCCGTCAGCACCATACGCTTCTTTCAATACTGAAACATATAATTGCTAACTAAAGCCTGTAGTTCATTCATATTTTAACCTAATGCCTTCATCAAGATTCCATATTATATCTAGTCACAGGCCACAGGTGTTCTGAGCTGTGACAGTACAGTGGTGTGTGTGTGTGTGTGTGTGTGTGTGTGTGTGTGTGTGTGTGTGTGTTTATGTGGTGCCAGGGATTAAAAGTGTTAAGCTTCATCACCGGCTCTATATCATGTTTTGCTTTTTAATTTTAATTATTCAGTGGCTTCATTTGCGTGTCATCCTTGCGCAGGGGTCATGCTAATATTCTCTGTATCATTCCAATTTTAGTATATGTGCTGCCGAAGCGAGCACTGGGCTGGAGCGATAGCACAGTGGTAGGGCGTTTGCCTTGCACGCAGCCAACATGGCCGACCCGAGTTCGATTCCTCCGCCCCTCTCGGAGAGCCCGGCAAGCTACCGAGAGTATCTCTCCCGCACGGCAGAGCCTGGCAAGCTCCCCGTGACGTATTCGATATGCCAAACACAGTAACAACAAAGTCTTCAATGGAGATGTTACTGGGCCCGCTCGAGCAAATCGATGAACAACGGGAGGGCCTTTACCTTTACCTTTTACCAGTAGCTTCATACTTCTATAATTGTCAACCACTTCTACCAGCAACAACCCAGTGCCACCCAACTACCAAGATCTCTCAGCCCTCTTCTTTGACCCTCTCTCCTTTCTCTCTGGAAACCACTATATTTTTCACTGAGTCTAGAAGTTTTTGTTTTGAGGCATTTTAGGAAGTGCTCAGTGACCTAGGGCTAGTCCTGGTGATGCTATTCCAGAAGGTTCAATGCTAGGGTCCAAGTGATATGCTGCTGCTTAGGCCTGAAGCTGCTTAGACTCCAAGGCTACACCAACAGCTGCTCAGGGCACCTTGCAATGCCTGGGCTAGAACCTGGGTCATTGTATATACAAGGCATATAACCCCAATCCCTCAACTATCTTCCCAGCCCTTAGGAGTGAGTCTTGTTGTTTCTTGCCAGTTCCATTTCTTTAGTAAGTCATATTCCACATGTGTGAAACCATCCCTCTTTTTCTTCTTATTATACCTTAGCAACATCACCTCAAGTGCTGTCCATTATGCCCCTCAATGCATATCTCTATATTTATAATGGCAGAATTGTATTCCATTGAAAATATATACCACGTCTTTGTCCATTTCAGTTGATTCATGCTATGGCTTTTGCAAATAAAGCGGCTATCCACAAGGGGTGCAAATACCTTCGTATTTAGTGTTTTCATAAAGAATCATATTTTCAAAACCACCTTTTCCAAGAAACATTACCTTTAATATTTTTTTACCTTTAATTTTTTTTATTATATCACCATGAGCACACAGTTATAAAGTTTTTCATAGTAGGGTTTCAGTCATACAATGTTCCAACACTCATCCCTCTACCAGTTTACATTCTCCACCACTAGTGTCCCCAGTTTCCTTCCTTCTACCTTCCCTCCCCTCAGCCTGCCTCTATGACAGGTCTCTCTCTCTCTCTCTTTCTCTCTCTTCCTCTCCCTCACTTCTCTCCTTATGGGCATTATGGTTTGCGATACTGATACTGAGAGGTTATCTTGTCTGTTCCTTTACCTACTTTCAGCACACAGTTATTATCCAGAGTGATCATTTCCATCTATTTTTGTCATAGTGGTCCCTTCTTTATCCCAGCTGTCTTCTCCCCCAGTATTTGAAGCAGGCTTTCACTTGTGGGCCAATCCTCCTGGCCCTTGTTTCTACTGTCCTTGGGTATTGGTCTTATATCATGTTTTTTTTAATTTTTTTTTATTATCCCACAAATGAGTGCAATCATTCTGTGTCTGTATCTCTCCTCTTCTGACTTATTTCATTCAGGATGATACTCTCCATGTCTATCCATTTATAAGAGAATTTTATGACTTCATTATTTGAGGGTTGGTGTCAGGATATTCACCTCTGTTCTACTGATCTGTAGGTCTGTCCTTATCCCAATACCATGATTTTTTAATTTGTTGTACAGAAATGTTACTTTTCAATCAAACTATTTACTCCACAGTCTACACTCTGGTGTCTTTGGGAGAAGGCACATGGTTGTCTTGTGAACTACCAGACGGCTAGGAACCATAGGATAAACCTCATCCTTGAGAAGTGTTCAAACTTACTGAGAAACCAAATGTTAGGAATAAAATAATTAAACACTAATAGAGAACAAAGTGGGATCCAATGCCTTTCAGGAAGTTTCTAGCACAGAGCATCCCTAAGTGCATTAGCAAAAATGTTATGTAAGTTGTAGAATATAGGCCAGGTTTCAAAATATAGGTAGCATGCCTGGGTGTTAAAAACCATCTGTTTCTGACCAATTATGTATAGATTCACATGCTTCTCTGTTAGGCAAATTGTAACCTCTTAACCACAACCATGGTATCAGTGATTGTACAGATCCCTGACTGTATCCTAGTGCCAAGTTAGGCACTATATTCAAAACAATGAACAGGGACTGGGTTTCTTTATTGTTTTGAGTATAGAGGTTACAGACCTGCAAACAATTAGGGTCAATGAGATCACTGCTGGATGGCCAGTCTGAGGAAGGAGGCCGTGGGGGGGTTGAAGGAACAGATACTGAAGTTCATTTGGGAGACATGAAGATAGTTTAGGAAAGGTGTTGAAGCTTCATCTAAAACTTGAATTTGAAAGAAGAGGGTTTTATTATTATCTTTTTAAGTGGAGATGTGCACTTTAGGAGCAGGAGAATGCATTTCAAGTAGGGTATAAAAAGTTAAACAACACAGAGTCATAAGAAAGTATTGTATTTTCGAGAAATGTCTACATTATGGGAAGGGAAGAAAGACTATGAAGAAAGAAATATTAGTAACAGAGGTAACAATACTGTTGGTGATGGTATGGTGACACCATTGGTGAGAATAACTGATGATATATTTTTTATACTATCACAACTTTTAAAAAGTAGGTTTTTAAAAATGTTATTTTGGAACCCACAGAAAAAACTGTGAGAATGGTGGGGCCGGAGTGATAGCACAGCGGGGAGGGTGTTTGCCTTGCATGTGGTCAACCTGGGTTCAATCCCCAGTATCCCATATGGTCACCCAGCACTGCCAGGAATGATTCCTGAGTGCAGAGCCAGGAGTAACCCCTGAGCATCACTGGGTGTGACCCAAAAAGAAAAAAAATTGTGAAAATGGATAAAATTCCTTTCTATCCTCTACTTCCATATATACAATACCCACCATTCTTTTTATGAATATTCATCACTTCCCTGGTATATCTGTTACAATTCCTAGACCTATTCTGATAAACCTAAATGGACACATAATTATCATCTGAAGTCCAGGTTCCACTTTGGGTTTTTTATATGATACAATACGATATGTATGAACGTATTCACCTTCTCAGAATCATATTAAATAGCTTCTAAAATATTTGTTGTGCTCTGCCTATATATTTCTTGTCACCTAACCTCTTGAACTCACTGATCTTTTAGTAAAAAGTTCTAATTCTCTTTAGTTCTAATTTTTTAGGATGCCATATTACTGGAATATTATAGTGTGTAATCTTCCAGATTGGTTTCTTTAACTTAGTAATATGCACATACGCTGGCATCTGATGCATCCATCGAGGACCTAATGGTACAAGTGCGAAAGATCAAGTACGACATCATTGGTCTGACCAAAAGGAGAAGACATCAATCACATCATGCATTTTCGACACTGGAGAAGAACTGTTCCTTGGAACATGTGACAAAAGAGGAGTCGGAGGTGTCGGTATCCTTATCAACACGAACTTAGCCATGAGCATTGATTCATTCGAATGTCTAACAACCTGAATCAGACAATTATACTTGAATAGATGTGGCTCACTGCTGGCAGTTTCTATCTTTGTTGTCTATGCACCAACATCCAATTATGGTGAAAGAGAAATTGAGACGTTCTACATGGAGCTGGATAAGTTCTATAAAGAAGACCACAACTTCTACAAGACCATTGTCGGTGATTTTAATGCCAAGATAGGACCAAGAAGATCAGCCGATGAACTCCACATCGGGACCCATGGCCTAGAATGGAACAAACAGGGTGACAGACTGTTCTGAGTTCATCATGTCAACCAAGACCATCCATGGTAACTCACAATTCCAAAAGGCTGAATCTAAACGTTGGACATGGGAGTCTCCCAATGGATGGTTCCACAATGAAACAGACCACATCATATTCAATCGGCAGTTTTGCCTAACCGATGTCGCTGTTGTCCCAAAATTCCAAACGGGATCAGACCACCGTCTCCCTCGTGCAAAATTCTACCTCACAGAATGGGGAGAAAAGAATGCAAAGTTTAAGAAGAAAACTCCCAGAACGACCACCAACTGGGAGCTCTTTGGCTCTGTTGCAGCAACATGGGAAGATGCCGTCATTGACAACATTGATGAGGAATACGATCGAATGATTCAGCACCTCCATGATTATACAAGGAATGCCAAGAGAGAGACAACCACAAAAAACCGCCTTTCTTCGAACACTCTTGAACTTATTCACCAACATGGCTTGGCAAATGCCTCAGGCAACTCA